GTGGAGGAGGAAGCACAAGGGAGGGAAGCTTTTCGTGAGTGGATGCAAAATGGGTTAGGGAGAAATCTAGACCATGCCTCCTTCTCATCCTCATCCACCAGTAGGTAAGGACCCTTAGGTAGGTGTGGTGACCACCTTTGATTGGATGGAAGTATGGGTCAAAGTACCTCATGTAAGACCACCCCCCCTTTTTCCATTTTTTTATTATTTCCTTTACATAAAAGCACGCTAATAAATACATATATAATATATATATATATATATATATTTACATATACCAGTATATATATATATATATACTTAAAATATTCAAGAATAAGAGAAAACATAAGAATACCTCGTAGCGGAACGAAAGAGAATTTCGGGGTGTTACAACCTGCCCTGAGAAAACTCGATCTGACCTTTTCTCAACCTCAAAGATTGGTTCGGGGCCATTTTTTTGCTCACTGAAAACGCGTTTGGAAGGTCGGGTCTTGTACATCTCTACGATCATCCATAATGGTAATCTTTTTATTTTATTTTATTCAAAAAGTATGGGAAATACAAGCTCAACCAGCCAAATAAAAACAAGCCTATTGAGAGCTTATACAGTTACAAACGATCAACCCAACCCAACCCAACCTAACGCGAAATAACACAACCCGAAGTAACCTGATGTCTAATTGAGTTGTAAAATTTTCAAATCGTAGGTAATGAGTTGATATTGGGTTACTATTATTTGAACCAAACCAAATCCGATGAACCCAATATCCTTTTATTTCTTGGATTTAATATGATTGTTGAATTTTTATTAACATATAATTTAGACAATTACACTATCACATACGCTATTCATATACACATATTTTCAATCTATTCATATCTTTATATAACTCATTCGTATATATGTTCAGTAATTGTGAACGTATATATGGATAACATGTATTAAATATGGAATTTTCGTTAAAGACAGGGATTGAAGTCGTACATGAAAATAGTTAGGGATGTAATCAGTAAATTTTAAAGAAAATGACAGCAGAGAAAAGACCAAGAAAAGGTTCGTGAGGTGGTCACGTGACCTCCATCGCTGGTGTCGCCGGGACTACGGATATGTACCCCATCACCATCACCTTATCGACGTGTCATTTCTCACATCCTTCCATTTTTAGGTAATCGTTTTTCTTGTTTTTCATCACTTTAATTTGTTCGATTTGACGTCTTCGATTTGTGTTTTCGTGAAATCAAATTTGCTGTTCGATATTAAAAGTTGAAGATTTCATCCCGTCTCAATTGGAGCAGCAATTCAGACGATCTGTCATAAGGTTAGTTCATGTCATGCATCTGAATTTTATTTCATATTCTTGTTTCCCGTTTTCAAAAATTGAAAGCATACGAAGAATTTGTTTCGTTGTTGCGAGATCTGTGACTGTTCTAGCTAGATAATTGCTGATTTCTTTGAATTTATGTGTTGAATTATGATGGAAGTGTTGAATTGGATCATAGGATGATGATCGTGGTATATTCTACTGGATGTCGTTTAGAGATCTGATGTATATACATATCATATTCATATACGTATTTTGATGATTGACATGCAATTGATAAAACCTAATGAGGAACCCTAATTTGTTGAGATAGGTTTGTAAATTCATTACAGAATGGATTTCTTAAGCACTCTCTGGGTTGCTACAAGTATGAAAGTGTGGCTATTTTGACATCCATGTTGAATTGTTGATCAAACCAACATTAATGTTCAGAATTTTTATAAGCACTGTCTATGGTATGCAAGGCGGGTGACAAAATTGTGGAAGGTTTTATGGTTTCAATTTGACATGTCTAGTTTAGAAATTCACCCAGATTGTCTGGTCCCGCTAGTTTTTGTTCCAACTATTTTGGTGGGCCAGGAAAAAGAAAACATTTTTGTCCCACTCAAGCCTGTCCGCTCGTGTCTCACCAAACGTGAGACAAAAACTTTGTTTTGTACTATCTTGTAATGTCTTGCATGCCAAGCACCCTTACAGAATGGATTTCTTTAAGCACTATCTGGGTTGCTACGCGTATGACAATGTGGCTATTTTGACATCCATGTTGATCAAACCAACTTTAAAGTTCAGAATTTTCTTAAGCAACAATAACAGAGAATCAAATGAAAGAAACTAAAAATCGATCATTAATTATGTTTTCCGGAAGAGCTTTATAGTCAAATACTTGGATCATATTCATTTGGATTTTTTTACTTCTTGAAATCTTTTATAGTGAGGTTTCCTAATGAAAATTTTCTTTTTCTTTTTACTTCCAACAGAGAGAGTGTAGTTGCCCTGCATCAAAATTTGCACACATTTATTTTAGCAGCAGCAGGAAATGGTCAAAAGGTTATTTCTATCTTTTCAAGTTTGCTGTCTGCTTGGATGTCTTTGCTGTCTGCTTGGATGTCTACATTGTTCTCATCTGTTTGACATAATTCTCAAGATCACTGAAATCTACAATATCTTGGTTGAATCTTTGACTTTTCTTTTGGTCTTCTTTTCAGCAATGATCATGGGGTATTTTGATGTACAACAAGTACCATGTCTCAATGCTTAGAGGGGGTCAAGCATTTATTTGCTTCCCTGCTCCATTGCTGTGATCTTGATTCACACAAACAATTAACGTCCCTTGAAGATCCTGAAATTCTAGCCAGAGCGACAGTTTGTATGCTATTAATCTATAATCCTATTACACATTTGCTGCCCTTCTATTTTGCGCCTTTCTCAGATGCTGGGGGTCTACCTGGAAACAACCACTCTAGCATCTGAGCGTGGAGGCCAGGTCTGCGTATTCCCCCCCCCCCCCTGATCCCATCTTCGGGTGGGATATACTTGGTTTGTTTGGTTTACATTTGTCGCCCTATTGATTGAGATCACAAAGATCAAAGTTCAGACCACAAATCAAATTAAGCTGAAGAGTAGCTTTCTTTTTTGTTAGTATTTTTTTGTGTATCAAACGTATATATATGTAGGAATGTTCCCTCTTTGTATATGAGTCTTTTAAGGAAAGATTCAAAGGGGTTCCAGATATCCTAACAAGTTCATGCCAAGTTTCATCTTTTTTATGTATCAAACATATATATATAATATGTGTGTGTGTATATATATATATATGGAGTGAGATCAGGGAAAACCCCCCAAAACAATGAAAATTTGAGGAACATCCTAATAACTGTTCATCTTACGGTATGCTCATATGCATACAAGTAATTGAAGATGTTTTTTTGGTTTCTATGCATGTGTACATGTTATGCACATGTTTATACTAGAAAAATTACTGACAAATTACTTGTATGCACATGTGCCTACAGCTAAATGGTTACCAGGGTGTTCCTCAGTTTTTCATTTTTTTTGCGGTTTTTCCATGAACCTAACCCTATATATATATATATATATATATATATAAGAATTTCCTCTCTTTCTATATGAGCTCTTTTAGAGAGGGATTCAAAGGGGTTTCCGCATATCCTAACAAGATAATGCTAAGCTTCTTCTTTGCTTCATTTCTGTCAAGAAAACACTCATAACTCACACCTCATACTAACAGAAGTCATCTGTGGCATAATGCAGTTAGTGTAAGCGAAATAGAAGCACTTTATGAGTTGTTTAAGAAGATTAGCAGTGCTGTGATTGATGACGGACTAATCAATAAGGTTTGTGTCGAAGCTGGCATAACGTCTTTTGCATATCTAGGGGATGGCAACATCTTTTCTAATAATCTAACTAAAATGTTCAAATGATCTGTATACGTATCACAGGAAGAGTTCCAATTGGCATTATTCAAGACAAACAAAAAGGAGAGCTTGTTTGCTGATCGGGTGTGTATCTGCATAGCTTATTTTCCTTACATCTTTTCAAGTAAACTATAAGGGTGCGTTTGGTATCCAAACAAGATAGGACATGACAGAACAGATAAAATGACCAATTTACCCCTAATATTTATAAGAATAATGGTGTTTTTTGACACATAAAGTAGTCATGATATCATGTGCTGTTGAAAAACAATGCTAGTCATTTGATTTGAACATTCTCATGAAACCCTCTTCTTATTACTTTGACTCCAGGTGTTTGACCTGTTTGACACGAAGCATAATGGAATCCTCGGTTTCGAAGAGTTTGCATGTGCACTATCTGTATTTCATCCAAATGCCCCAATTGATGATAAGATCGAGTGTAAGTTAAAATAGTTTCCTACACTACAACAAAATTATTTTATAGGACACCTAAAATGTAGAAACGTCCTAAAAGTACTTTATACGACTTAAGTTTATAGGACCAAACCAAAAAGTGTCCCATGTAAAAGTGTTACAATAGGTTTGTATTTAGACTAGCTTTAAGACGTTTTTAAAAGGAAGTGTCGAATTAACTATTTCATACAACGCTATTTGAAAAGGTGTCATATAAAAAGATAAGTTTATGGGACGCTTCTCAAAAATGTCCTATAAAATAGCTAATAAGACACTATTTTAAAAACGTCCTAAAAAACTTGTTAAAACGCCTAAAAGCGTCATAAATCTATTGTAACGCTTTTAGATAGGACGCTTTATAGTTTGGTCCTATAAACCTAAATCCTATGAAGTATTCTATTAGGACGTTTAGACAATCCAAGCTTCTTGTAAGGCCAATTTTGTTGAAGTTCTAGTAAAAGAAATATGATGCATATGTTATCTTTTTGGATCTTTAGATTATGTTCATTTGCTTCAATTTCCACATCTGAGAACTTTGCATATATCTTCTTTATGCACGCCCTGAATCCCGTATTTCATCCTTGATTTGCAGTTTCCTTTCAACTTTACGATCTCAAACAGCAAGGTTTCATAGAGAGGCAGGAGGTAATTCCGTTCATTTTTTAAATCAAACCAAACAGGGCCATTATATCCCACCTGATGGTAGGGTCCGGGGGGTAAGATGTACTCAAATCTGACATCTATCCCACGAGACATAGGTTTTGCTTGTGCATTGTGAATCAATTGATTGAGCGCCCCCAAAAAAACCCTTATTCCTATCTAAAGTCTAGTACCAGAGTTTAGTATGGTATGGGAGTGAATAATTTGTTTGGATTTGT